GGGCACAGGGCGGGTGGGTCGGTATCCGGAGGGCACAGGGCGGGTGGGTCGGTAACCGGAGGGCACAGGGCGGGTGGGTCGGTAACCGGAGGGCACAGGGCGGGTGGGTCGGTAACCGGAGGGCACAGGGCGGGTGGGTCGGTAACCGGAGGGCACAGCGAATGCGCTGCCTGAAAGGGCGGTGGAAGCAGATTCAATAACAACTCTCAAAAGGGAATTGGAGAGGAAGTTGAACAGGAAAATTGGCAAAGTTATGTGGTAAGAGCGGAGGAGTGATTGAGTAGCTCTTCCAAAGAGCCGCACAGGCACGGTGGGCCGAATGGCCTCCTTCTGGGCTGGAATATTCTATGATTCTAGGACCAAAGCTCCTGGTCTGTGAATGACTACATTTTAAATGTTACATTTTTTCTGTGTACAGAAGGTTCTGACCCCAAGTCTGATAAGTGCCTTTTAATAATAAAAAAACCCCAAACTGAAGGTCCACAATTTCTATTTCGGAGACGCCTCCCCAACCGAATGGCTGTGTTATATAATTATATATATTTTATAATATATATAATATATGCAGCATACGCACTATTTACAATGTAGAAATAAATACATTATATATTAATACATATGATACAATATGTACATCTTTATAAATGATTACTGAGCTCCGAGCGTAAATAAAATAGCCTCAGCCCGCAAACTTCCCAGAGCACAGCAACCTCATCATTTTACATTTGTTTGTATTTTTTTGTATATGTATCTAATAAAGTAATAATAATAATAATATAATAATAATATTGTTATTATTCTAATAAAGTACATTGTATTAGTTCTATTATGATAATTCTATAAGTTTTCGTTGTTGCTGAGATCCGGGGACAAACAGAAATGTTTATTATAAAATAAAATTTAGAATGTATAGTAAATATATATATGTGTATACAATGTATAGCTATGTATAACCGTTTCCTAGGATCAGAGAACAAACAATGTGTGTAATATATAATGCATTATATTTGTTATAGAATATAACTGTAAATGTGGTTACAGGCCTTGCATGTACAACAACAACAGCAACAACTTACATTTATACAGCGTCCCTCACGCAGGGTAACATCCCAGAAAATAACCGTGCAAATGAGGGCTGCAGAGCGTGTACATACAGTATGACTTTGCATACGTTGGTTACAAGCTGTGTATATATAAAGGTTTACACATCGTGTAAATCATCTCAGACCATTTCCTCATCTCCCTCTCCTCCCGCACCACCCCTCCCCCCCCTCTCCTCCCCTCTTCCAAGTCCGCCACCATCTTTTTCGGACCTTGGAAAAACCTTCCACCGGAGTCCCTCTTCCTCGGACCTCTTCTCCCTCTGGACTTCCACCCACAGCGATTCTGATGCAACCCTCAACTGCATTGCCCTTCTGAAATCCAGAGGTCTGACTCCAAATCTCCTCATCCCCGTGGTATAACTGTGATCTCCGGGCGCTCCCTCAAAATGAAAGCCCAGACACTCGAGCCAATCAGTATGGCTTCCATCAGCGTCTTCTATCCTGCGTCTCTGACCTCCTTAACCCAAGCGTTAGGTTTGACCCACAGCTGTGCTTCCTTCCCCACATCCGATCCCTGACCAGGACCACTTTCTTCCACCTCCGCTACATTGCCCACCTCCGACCGTACCTTACCACAGACGCTGCCGAAACACTCGTCCGTGTGTTGGTCACCTCCCGCCTCCACATTTCAAATCCCCAGCTCCACCATGCACAGGGTCCAGCTGATCCAAACCTCCGCCACCCACATACAACCCGCACTAAACTCTGCTCCCCCCCACCCCCCCATCACACTAGGTCTATCCAGGCTCCACTGGTTGCCTATCCCTGAACGGATCGATTTAGAGATCCTCACATTCGTTTTCAAATCCCTTCATGCCCCGGCACCTCCCTACCTCTCCGACCTGTTTACCTCCCAACCAACCCACCACCTGCTGCCTCTGCTCGACTGGCTCTGGCCTCCTGCATGTCCCTCGTGCCGCCGTTCCACCATCGGCCACCATTGGTGGCTGCGCTTTCAGCCACTATGCTCTGAAACTCTGGAACACTCTTCCTGTATCCCTCTGCTTTTCCCCCTCCTTCCCCATCTTCAGGTCACGCCTGAAAACCTTCCTCCCCCTCCCCCTGGCTCAGCATCATGCTCCATCACTGTCAAGCGCTCTGGGACGCTCCCCTGTGTGAGGGCTGCTAAATAAATGCTGAATATGTTGTTGTTGTTTTGTGTATACAGTGTATGGAAGTTTACAGACTGTATGTATATAGTATACTGTGTATATAAGGACTTACAGAGGACGTGTATATAATGTACAGGAGTGTTTACATGCTGTGTATATGTGTATAACAGGACACCCACAACACATCCCGGATTCAGGAGCGATTCTGGAAGGTGAATAAGATTCAGTTTGTTTATGACACCTCCCAAGCCTACTTTAAAGACGCCATAAACCGTGAGTAGATAGCAAACGGTAACGGCGACAGCCGTTATTGTTACTAGTATAACTAGCGCACTGACTAGCAGCACCAGGGGCCCGTAACGTTTCCTCGATATCTTGCGTTTCACGATTGTTCACACTGCAACTTACTGCAGCTCAGCAGATCTGTGTGTCTCTGTGTCTGTGTGTCTGTGTAAATGTAATTATGCATTGTATGTGTGTGCCTGTGTGTGTATGTGTGTCTGTGTGCGTGTGTATGGCTGTGTGTGTGTGTGTGGCTGTATTTGTGTCTGTGTAAGTGTATATGTGTGTCTGTGTATGAGGCTCTGTGTGTAAGTGAGTGTGTTGGTGTGTGTGTGTGTGTCGGTGTCGGTGTGTGTGTGTGTGTCTATGTGAGTGTGTGTCTGTGCATGAGCTCAAAATTCTTGTCCTTGTCCTCAGCCTCTCTACCCCGTCCTTTGGAACGCCATCCCACAGTCCCTCCACCTCGCTCCCTCTTTTGCCTCCTTTAAGTCCCGTCTCAAGACCCTCCTCTTTGATCACACCTTCGGCCACCCTCCTACCCCTCCTCTCCCTGCCCTCCTACCCCTCCTCACCTCGCGTCCAGTGCCTTGGCACGTCCTCCCGATGTGAAAGGCGCTGTGTAAACGTAATTTATTGTTGTCTCTCCAGCCGGGAAGCACACGGCAGTGTCTCACCACTTGACGCTGTTCCGGACGCCCGAGGGCAAGTCGTACAAGTGTAAAGCTCAGGAGACACTGGTGCTGATCTCCAGCGACCACCACAAAATGGTGTCCCTGTTTCTCTCCCAGACACACATCCAGCCCTTCGACATCAACAGTGACTTCATCTTCAGTGAAGGTAGTGACCAGCGGGAGGGAGAGGGGGTAGTGTGTGTGTGTTTGGGTGTGTGTGGGCGGGGGTGGAGGAGGCAGTGGCCAGCTGTGGAGATAATAATAATAATAATCCTTGCATTTGATATAGCGCCTTATCATGTCTTTGAGATGCCTCAAAGCGCTTCATAGAACATACTGTGAAGTGAATTGACCATATATTTTGTGGGCAAAATTCTGGAGCCAATTGTGTACAGCAGCGTTCCCACAAACAGTCGTGACCACATTTTTTTAATAATAATAGTTGGTCAGTGTGCGACTGAAAGACGACTTGTTTTGAAGTGACCAATTTATAATTTTTTTTGGAAAGAATTATTACTCCCGGAAAAGCCATACTAACAGCCAGATTTCTACTTCCTGCTCGGTAAACAGAGGTGTGCGGAGTAAGGAAACTTTTCTAAGGTTTTGCCCTGTCCGGGAATCGAACCTGGATCCTCTCGCTTGCGAGGGGGGAAGGACGTGTGACGTCATTCACGATCTATAAAGTCCAGGTTGATTTTGCTCACACTCACCCTCCCCCTCCTGATAACCCCTCTTATCTCTGCACATTCCTGATGGAAAGCACATTATCTTCGGGTTTTTCCAACCTCTGGCCATTTTGCTGGCGTTTCTTTGTAAAACATCGCGTGAAACTTGAGCCCTGAAATTCGCACCGTCTCCTCGGCTCGTAAGTGAGAGGACCCGGGTTCGATTCCCGGGCAGTGCGAAACCTTAGGCAAGTTTCCTAACTCCACACTCCTCTCCTGATGTGAAAGGTGCAACGCAAATGTAACGTGTTATTGTTTACCCAGCAGCATGTTGTTAGTCGATGAGCTTTTCCAGGAGTAATAATCCCTTAAAAAATATTTTTAAAATAATAATTTGATCACTCAATCCACGACTGTTTGTGGGACGCTGCTGTTGCAATTGGCTGCCACGTTTTGCCCACAAAATACGCAGTCAATCCACTTTACAGTATATTCTGTGAAGCGCTTTGAGACGCTTTGAAGTGTCTCAATGAGGTGATAAGGCGCTGTGTCACAGAATGGCAGAGAATGCTTAGCATGTCAGTCCATAGCGCTCTGGCCTCTGAGCCAGAAGGTGGTGGGTTCAAGTCCCAAGTACAACTTACTGTCTAAGGTGACGCTCCAGTGCAGAGCTGGACGCAGTACTGGGGTTGCTTTGCATTGAGATGTCAACCAGGGTCCCGACTACCTGTACAGGTGGACGTTAAAGATTCCGCGGTGCTATTCAAAAAATATGATATGTACAATATGTACACACACTTGGGGAGATATCTGTATATAGTAGGAGGGTAACTGTATGTGTACCTAAGAATTAACGGTGAGATACAGGCACTATTATGATGTTCCTTACCCCAAATGCAGCCGAAACCCTTGTCACCTCCCTCCTGAGCCATTCAAATGCCCTCTTCGCCGGTCTCCCCAGCTCCGCTATCCACAACATCCAGCTAATCCAAAACTCCACCACCCTCACACTCACCCGTGCTAAACTCCATACCCCCATCACACCAGTCCTTGCCAGGCTCTGCTGGCTCCCTATCACAGAACGGATCGATTGTAAGATCCTCACACTCCTCTTCAAATCCTTTCGTACACTGGCACCACCCTACCTCAGACCTGCTCACTCTCCAACCCACTACCCCGCTGCCTCCGCTTAAATGGCTCCGGCCTCCTCCTCCCTCAATCCCTCCGCCTTGTCCCCTCCTTCCCCATCTACAGATCGCGCCTGAAGACCTTCCTCTTCGATTGCGTCCACGGTCACCTCACCCCTTCCCCACGGCTCCACCACTGGTACGCGCTCCGGAATGCGTGAAGGCCGCTATATAAATGAAGTTATTGCTGTATCTAAGAGTTTACAGTGAGATACAGCCCGAGATCCGCTTTGTCCCGAGCTCCTCACATTGGGTCTGTTGTTCTCTCCACAGCATCCAAGTGCGTGGTGGACCAGCAGGAGAGGCTGGAGGAGACCCTTCCCCTGATTCTGGGGCTGACCCTGGGGCTGATCATCGTGGTGATGCTGACTGTCTACCACCTCCACCAGAAATACACAGCCACCGCCAGGCAGACACAGGTCCCCAGAGACAGAGCACAATACAAGCACATGTAGAGAATAGTACCTCCCTCAACGCTAGCCCAGCACCTTCACCAGCCAGCGACGGGAGGGAGGGAGAGAGAGAGAGAGAAAGAGGGAGAGAGGGAGGGAGGGAGGGAGGGGAAGGAGGGGCAGCCATTAAAATAAACTGTAAACTTCTTTAAAAAAACGCACACGCAATCTATAAATAGGTCAAGCCACTTGCTAAATCGTTGCGTACACTGTACTCCAGATGTGCTTTGTTCAAAAAGGCGAAGAAATCCAGGAGCAGAAATTAAGCACGATTAATAAGCCATGAACAACGAATGTCAAGACATTCAGCAGCCGTTCTATTTAAAATAAAAGTTCATTTAAAAATCGCACCGTGTCATTGCTTTGCTTCCTCTCTCTCTGTCATTTTTTGGTCAATTTATAGCATGTAACATATAATAATATCCATGTACTTTATGACATTCGGCTGCTGTGGGTAAGCCTTGCAGTGACAACGGCGCTGGAGGTTTGCTGTGATGTCAGTGACAATGTGAATGTCAATGGCTGTGCTCAGTGACATGGTGATTATTTAGGGAATTTACTGCAAAGTAGTTTTCAGCGCCTGTCGTGAAAGGCGCTGACAAATGTAATTTTGTTGCTGTTGCTTTAATATCAGCCAAGTGTCTGACACACGTTGAAACCCATTACTGTGATTAGCCGTGTGTCTGACACACAGGGAAACCCATCACCGTGCTCAGCCAGGTGTCTGACATACACAGAAACGCTGCTTAACATCTCACCTCATCCGAAGCATGACACCTCCAATAAAGGAGCGCTTCCCCCAGCACTGTACTGGAGCATCAGCCCAGAGCATATCTGTTCCACATCCTGACAGAGGCGTGCAGAGCAAGGGAAAACTTGCCGACGGTTTCACCCCGCCTGGGAATTGAACCCGAGTCCTCTCGCTCGCGAGGCACGCGTGCTAATCACTACACTACAGGGCTCCGTGGGGCCTGAAATCACATAATCTAAGTTGACACTCGAATGCAGTGTCGCATTGTCGGAGGTGCCAACAAGCCTTTCAAGTTGGGAGAACATCACACAGTGCTTTGCAGGACTAACCAAGTGCAGTGCCTGTACGTTTTGTGGGTGAACGTGGCAGCTAATTTGCACATAGCAGTGTCCCACAAACAGCCATGAAGTGGTGACCAATTTTATTTGGAGGCTTGTCGGCCGTGACTGCGGGAGAGAGAAACTCCTTTCGCTTTTCCAACAGCGCCGCGGGATCTTTAACATCCACCTGAACAGGCGCAGAAAGGACCACAAATTAACATCTCATCCGAAGGACGGCACCTCTGACAGTGCAGAGGTTGTGGGTTCAAACCCCACCCCACCCCCCCAGCGCCCCATTGGAGCGTCACTATGTGATTCCAAGTCCCGCCGTGGTGGGTGGGGGGGGGGGTGGGGGTGAGGTTTGAACCCACAACCTTCTGACTCGGTGGCGAGAATGCGACTGTCTCGAGCTGTGACAGGAACCGATCGAAACAACACAAACACGTCGATTCATTTAATAAATAACCAGACTGATTTATTCTCTCTGCCGGGTTGTGTACAGACCTCGCTCACTCTATGACGCACCATAATTCCCATCAAACCGTGCGTGACGGTGAGCACATGCACCCACACACTCAATAAATAACACCACACCAACTGTAACGCCCTGAACAGCAATGCCCTTAGGTCACAGCCGGCTGAAACGAGCCAGCATTAAACTCGGCAACTCTCGGCAGGTTCAGCTGTGTTTAACACAACACCTCAAAGTGTGAAACGAGAGGTTTCAATAGTTCTTTAACTGACGTAACTCAACCCCTTTCCCCTCCCCTCCTCCCCAACCCCACCCCACCCCCCACAAGCACACCATAAAACGTCAACCTCCCGTCTCCCCTCAATGTCCCTGCAAAAAAAGACTTGATCGGAATCCCAATCTGTGTCACGACGGGTTGTTCTCCTGTCACCAGAAAATACTGTTAGTTTATCAAAAAACACTTGCTGTAGGTAAGATACAAATCCAATCCAAAACACGGGAAAATCCGAGCGTGGTAGAGAGAGATGATCTCTCCCTCCTCCCCCACAGCCCCCAAAAGAAGAAATAAGTTTTGTAGAAAGACAAAGGCAGGAACGCAGCACGATTTCGCCTGGAGTCAGACTTCAGTCTTCAGTGCAATCCTTCTGGATTTCATCCCACATCTCGTGGAGCTGCTCTGGATTCCACGCTGAGTCCCCATCGGTGAACAGGGAGGGAGGGAGTGAGGGAGAAGCCCTCAGTGTCTGATACCAGTAATGTCCTGTTCTCTGGGACGTCCGCCCGATGCGAAAGACGCTGTACAAATGTCGTTTGTTGTTGAGAGCTGTCTCCTGAGAGGTTTGTGCTGCCACATCGCTGCGAATCAGGGGGGAGTCAAGTCACACCCTCCCCCCCCGCCTCGCTCATTAAACAGCGACGGGTCTCAGCAGATCAGAGCAGTGGAACAAAATCCATACATCCTCAAGGTCCGAGAAAAAAACCTTGTGACTGGGGCTCACCACCACACTCCCACCCTCGGAGTCCTGTCTGCTGTGTGTGATGTCGGTGGGTGGGGGGGGAGGGTGGCGAGGGGGCGGGGGGGAAGAGGTGGGAGTGGGGGCTCAGCGTTGCCTGTACTGTCTCATGAGTGGCACAATACAGAAGGGGGTCCCAGCCAACTTGAGGAAGGGGTGAGAGAGCAGCTGCTTGGCCGAGGCTCGCTGCACAGGATCCCGCACCAACATCAGGTCCAGGAAACTCCGCAGAACGGCAGACACCTAACACACAGCACCAGAGAGACCATTAGAACAACAACATGCTTCACCTCCAATAACTCACCAGAGTACTGTGTCCAATTCTGGGCACCACACATCAGGAACTTGTCAGGACCTTGGAGAGGATCCAGGGGAGATTTACCAAAATGGTACCAGAGATGAGGGGCTTTAGTTATGTGGCGAGACTGGAGAGGCTGGAATTGTTCTCCTTAGAGCAGAGAAGGTTAAGGGGAGATTTAATAGAGGCGTTCAAAATTATGAGTGGTTTTGATAGAGTAGATAGGGAGAAACTGTTTCCACTGGCGGGTGGGTTGGTAACCAGTGGTCATAGATTTAAGATAATTGTCAAACAAACCAGAGGGGAGATGAGGAGAAAGGGTGGTGCCTGAAAGGGTGGTGGCAGCAGATTCAATAACAACTTTCAAAAGGGAACTGGATAGGTACTTGAAGTGCAAAAATTTACAAGGGGGAAGAGCAGGAGAGTGGGAGTGATTGGGCAGCTCTTCCAAAAAGCCGGCACAGGCACAATGGGCTGAATGGCCTCCTTCTGTGCTGCAATATTCTACGATTCTATTCTATAATACAGTGATGTGTGGATCATCAAAACATCCCCAGCACTCCACAGCATATTGTAAAGTGCAAGCAGAGACTCTGTGATTTCTACGGGAAACAATTTGCACACAGGAATGTTCCATAACAGTCATGAAGTGAGTGACTGATTTTATCTGAGGATTGTTGGCCAGAGAGAGAAATTCCCTCCAATAGAGCCGCAGAATCTTTAACATCCACCTGAACAAACATCTCATCTAATGGATGGCACTGGCTCAGTCACTGTGTGTGTGTGTGAGCCTGGCTCAGTCACTGTGTGTGTGTGTGTGTGTCAGCCTGGCTCAGTCATTGTGTGTGTGTGTGAGCCTGGCTCAGTCACTGTGTGTGTGTGTGAGCCTGGCTCAGTCACTGTGTGTGTGTGTGTGTGTGGTGTGTGTGAGCCTGGCTCAGTCACTGTGTGTGTGTGTGTGAGCCTGGCTCAGTCACTGTGTGTGTGTGTCAGCCTGGCTCAGTCACTGTGTGTGTGTGTCAGCCTGGCTCAGTTACTGTGTGTGTGTCACCCTGGCTCAGTCACTGTGTGTGTGTCACCCTGGCTCAGTCACTGTGTGTGTGTGTGAGCCTGGCTCAGTCACTGTGTGTATGTGTGTCAGCCTGGCTCAATCACTATGTGTGTGTGTCAGCCTGGCGCAGTCACTGTGTGTGTGTGTGTGTGTGTGTCAGCCTGGCTCAGTCACTGTTGGTGTGTGTCAGACTGGTTAAATCACTTTGCACTCTCACCTCTGAGTCAGGAGGTTGTGAATTCAAGCCCCATGTTGGGGATATTGAGCTGACAGTCCAGGCTGACTCTCCAGTGCAGTCGGGGGGGGGGGGGGTGGGGGGTTGATATCGCGGTGTCTGAAAATATTCTGTGATTTCTAAATCACATTAACTGTAACACACTTGACGTTGAGAACCTTTATTGGACGCGAGGGAGATAAGGTGCTCTCCAGAGCTCATTAGGAATTGAGATGTGCACCATTAGTTTTCATGTCTAATTGCTTTGTTGATGTGATGTGCTATGCAGTGGCTCTCAGACATGTGAAGGGGTTAGGAAGCAGTGTTGGGAGCACCTTGTGTATGTCCTTTAGCCTCGGAGGCAGATTGTCACGGATTCTCCTCATGGCCTGAAGCGGAGGCTCATTGAAGTAAGGAGGTTCTCCATCAACCATCTCTATCACCATCACCCCCAGAGACCAGACATCCACCTGCCAAAGACACACAGCCCATTAGCTCCAGACTCTCTCTCTATCTCTGTCCCTCCCTGTCTCCCTCTCCCTCTCACACTTTCCCTCTCTCACTCTCTCACATACTCATTCTCTCACTCCTACTCACTTTCTCATTCTTCTCCCTCTCTCTCACTCACTCACTCACTCACTCAGTCAGTCGCTCTTTCATTTGTTCACTCTCTCTGTCACTCTCCTTCACACTCACTCTTTCACTTTCTCACTCTTACTTTCTCACTCTTACTTTCTCACTCTTTCTCCCTGTCTCTCACTCCCTCTCTCACTCGCACAGTCTCTTTCTCATTTCTCACTCTCTCTTTCATTCTCCTTCACACTCACTCTCTCATTGTTACTCAGTCTCTCACTCTTACTCTCTCGCACCTATCACTCTCACACTGACTCACACTCTCTCCTTCTCCCTCACTCTCTGTCACTCTCCGACGCTCTCTCACTCGCTCGGTCAGTCTCCCTTTCAATCTCTCTCCCTCTCTCTTGCACTCTCTGACCTTTCTCCCCCTCTTCCTGTATCCATCACACACTCACTCTCTCATTTTCTCAATCTGTCTCTCTCTCATTCTCTTTCTGACTAATTCACTCTCACTTCCACACTCACTCTAACACACTCAATCTCACTCTCTCACACTCTCTCTCCTTCTTTCTCACAATCACTCTCTCCCTCTCTCACTATCTCACTCTCTCTCACACTCACTCTCTCCCTTTGTCTCACACTCACACTTTCTCACTCTCACACTCACCGTCTCTCACTCTTACAATCTCACTTTCTCTCTCACAATCACTCACTCTCTTACTCTCACACTCATTCTCTCACTCTCACACTCACTCTCTCTGTCTCACATTCACTCTCTCTTTCACTCTCTATCTCTCTCTCTCACTGTCACACTCTCCGTCACTCTGACCTGTACTTGCTGCTGAGTAAACTCTTGTTCAAGGATATTAAGACCCCACTTGGACCTCATTATACACGTGAATCAACTTAATCTCCTTACCTCGGTCCCATACGGTAACCTGGATATAACCTCTGGAGCCATCCAGTACGGTGTTCCCACCAGTGACTTCCTCCTGGGAACCTCCTTTGACACTTGAGCGCAAAATCCAAAATCCGACAATTTTATCTGAAAAATGAACGTGAAGCAGTGAAGCCTCATTGCTAACTGGAATCACTTTCTCCGAACCTTTCCACGGCTTGCTTTAAAATAATAATAATGATCAGCGCGTGTGACAGAGCCTGGCTCAGTCACTCGCACTCTGGTCTCTGGGGTAGAAACTTGTGGTTGCATCCTGGCATTTGATATAGCGCTTCAAAATAATAACAATCCTTGTATTTGAAAAGCGCTTTTCACGTCTTCGCGACATCTCAAAGCGCTTCACAGACTATACTATAAAGTGAATTGACTGTGTATTCTGTGGGCGGAATGCCCCAGCCAATTGCACACAGTAGAGGGCCACAAACAGTCGTGGATTGAGTGACCAAATTATTATTCCCTACTGGGAATCGAACCCAGGTCTCTCGCTTACAAGGCGAGTGCTCTAACCACTGAGCTACAGGACTTCATCACATCAGTGAGACGTCTCACCCACCGAGTCAGAAAGTTGTGGGTTCAAGCCCTACTTCGGGACTTGGCATCACAAAGTCTAAGCTGATGCTCCAAAGCAGCGCTGGGGGATGTGTTGCAATGTCGGTGGTGCAGTCCTTCAGGTGAGACGTGTAACTGAGGTCTCGTTTGCGCCTGTTAACGTCCTGGTGTCCTGGCCGACAATCCTCCAGAAACATCACTTACCCTGCCATCACTGGTCAGGAGGATCGAGTCGCTCTTTATATCCCTGTGGATCACCCCCTGTGAATGCAGGTATGACAAGGCCTTCAACACCGACAGGCAAACTGTGGCTATTTGTTCCTCATTCATTCTGCAACAACAAGAACCAAATCATAAATAAATTCCTCTCACTTCGCAAGAAAAATACCCCCCATTTGCACATCACTGGCAGAGGGTCATAATAATAATAATGCTTGCATTTGATACAGCGCCTTATCACGTCTACGAGACATCTCAAAGTATTTCACAGGACATACTGTGAAGTAAATTGACTGTATATTTTGTGGGCGAAACACGGTGGCCAATTGCGCACAGCAGTGTCCCACAAGCAGTCATAGAATCTTACAGCATAGAAGGAGTCCATATGACACATGCAGAAGCCCATTAAATGAGATTGAAAAAGCAAATCCAGGTCAATATTTTCTGATGCATCGGGACAGTAGAACAAGAGGACACAGGGTTAGAGCTGTAAAGGGGCAATTTCAGGAGAGACACCAGGAAGCTTTTCTTTACCCAGAGGGTAATTAACGACTGGAAGAGGTTACCAGGAAGGGTTGTCGAGGCCAGGACACTAGGACTCATTTAAAAAGCAGCTGGATGCTGTGATAGGGGGGAACGGCAGGGTGGGTGTTCTGGAGGGAGGAGATCAGATGTGCTGAAGGGTCTTCTTCATCCAAATCTACGTGTGATCTTGTGAAGCATTTCCAAGACAGACAAAGTTCCACGTCTGCCACCTATTCATGGAAATTCCTGTGTGTTGGAATGGAATGCGCACTCTCTCCCTGGAGGGATGCATCCTATTTACAATGCTTACATAATCCCGGAGTGTTCTCAGGTGCAGGATACTAATGCACAACTAGTGTTGGTTCTCAGTGAGTTTTTAATCCAATTCAATGAGTTGACTGAGCCCCTGGGTGTCGCGGTGGGTGTCGATAGCTGCGCTGAGCTCCCCCTCGTACCTTGTATGTGTGACGATGTCTGTCAGAGCTCCGCCTTCCAGGAACTCCATCACCACCCACAGCTCGTCCCCTACCAAGTAACTATTGTACATGTCAACCACATTGTCATGGTGATAGTCGCGCATAATCACAACCTGCAACACAACAAAACAGTTAGAGGTTCACCGACCCGATCAACTGTGGTGTCCTGTAGCGCGGGGGGGGTGGGGGGGTGGAGGGGGATGCTGAGGGGAGAGGGGGAGAAGGAGGGAGATAGGAGGGGGAGCGAGGAAGGAGGAGCGAGAGGAGGAGGAGGCCATTCAGCCCATTGTGCCTGTGTCAGCTCTTTGGCAGAGCTACCAACTCGTCCCACTCCCCTGCTCGTACCCCAGAGTCCTGTACATTTTTCCTTTTCAAATAAGTATCTAATTCCCTTTTGAAAGCTCCTGTCAAATCTGCTGCCATTACTCTTTCAGGTAGTGCATCCTAGACCGTAACAACTCTCTGAGTAAAATAATGTCTCCTCATCTCCCCTCTGGTTCTTTCTTAAATCTGTGTCCTCTGTTTACCGCCAGAGGAAACAGTTTCTCCCTATCTGCTCTATCAAAACCCCTCATAATTTTGAACACATCTATTAAATCTCCGCTCAACCTTTTCTGCTCCAAGGAGAACAATCCCAGCCTCTCTAGTCTCTCCACATAACTGAAGTCCCTCATCCCTCATCAGTGGTGGATTGAGTGACCAAATGTACATTTTTTTTTACGAGATTATTACCCCTGGAAAGCGATCTGTCAATCGACTAACAACCAGGTTCCTACTTACTGCTAGGTAAACTTGCCTAAGGAAGGAAACTTGCTTAAGGTTTCGCCTTGCCCAGGATCGAACCCGGGTCCTCTAGCTTGTGAGTCGAGTGCTTTGAGGCAAAAAACAGTACAATACAAAATTACATTTTTAGAGAGTCTTTCACGTCAGGAAAGTCAAGGCGCTGGACAGAGATTTGGACCCAACAGGGGATTGGGATCACGAAGGGTGGAAGTGTGGGAGCGCAGGGGTAGGATGGCTGAAGGCGTGGTCGAAGAGGAGATTCTTGAGACGTGCCTCGAAGAAGGTAAGGGAGGAGACGAGGTGGAGGGACTGTGGGATGGAGTTCCAAAGGGTGGGGGCTCGGAAGCTGAGGGACCGACGGCCGATGGTGGACCAGGCAGGGGATCTGGAGCGGAGGGAGCAGGCAGGTTGACAAGGAGTTGATAAATAAAAAACCCATTTACACACAAAGGGAAGGGTCCGCTCACCTCATTGAAGAGCAGCTCTCTTCTCTGTTGCTTTCTGAGGTTCATTTTCTTGACAGCCACTTGCTTGCCGGTGGGCTTCTCGGTGGCGATGCACACGATGCCGGTGGAGCCCTCCCCGATCTTGATGAAGTTGTCCAGGTATTCACGGGGGTCTCCGGCGTTCACCACCAGTTGTAGGGCGGCTCGGAACTGCTCGTGGGACACCCTGGTGGGGGGCTGCTGCTGTGTGGAGGAACTCCAGCTGGGATATTGGTAAGCAGCCTGGGTAGCGTATTGGGAGTTGGGCTGAGGTGCTGCCGTGTGGTGCTGGGGCACTTTGGAATACGAGGAAGGGAACTGTTGGCTTGTGACTGAGTGGGTGGAGTTTGTCTGATACTGAGGGACCTTTGATGGACCTCGAGGGTAGGTGTCTGACCCAGTCAGACGGGGACTCACACCCCTTATTTGTCTTTCATAATCCACCTGTAAACACACACATATACAAACATGATACGTTACCAATGGATCAACCCAAAACCTGCAAAATACAGTAAGAACAACAATTTGCATTTATATAGCGCCTCTCATGCAGGGTAGCGTCCCAAAGCTCTTGACACTGGCAGAGCACGAGGCCGAGCCAGAGGGAGGGAGGAGGTGACCATAGCTATGGTCAAAGAGGAAGGTCTTCAGGTGTGACCTGAAGATGGGGAAGGAGGGGGCAAGGCAAAGGGATAGAGGAAGAATCCTCCAGAGTTTCGGGGCGTAGTGGGTGAAAACAGGCCACCAATGGTGGAACGGAGGGGAAAATCCTGTGTCTGACATTGCTAAGAGGGAACTCATAGATGAGGAAGAGGAGGGGGCCAAGAATGGAACCCTGGGGTACACCACAGATGAGCAGGGGGACGGGAAGCGAAGCCGTTTAAGGAGATAAAGTGAAGGCGATTTGTTAAGGAGGACTCAAACCAGGCCGGTCCCACTGAGGTGAATGAGGGAGGAGAGGTGGTTGATGAGGATAGCGTGGTTGACTGTGTTGGAGAGGTCCAGGAGGACAAGGAGGCAGAGGGAGCCCTGGTCACGGAAAGACAGGAAGTCTTTGTGACCTTGATAAGCGCTGTCTCTGTGCTATAAACAGGGCGGAAACCAGACTGGAGGGGCTCAAGGAGGGAACGAAGAGAGGTATGAGCAAAGCTGGTTAGCGACAATGAGGTCCAGAGCTTTTGCAAGGAAGGGCAGGTTGGAAATGGGTCAGTAATTTGTGAGTTTGGAGAGGTGGGGTTTTTTGAGGAGGGGAGCGATGACAGTGGTTTTAAGGGGGAGAGGAACAGAGCCTGAGGGGAGAGACTGGTTGGATGTGTCGGCCAGCAGTGGGGAGAGTAAGGGGGGAGTGGGGGGTTGGGTGACCAGCAGCTGGGTGGGGAGGCTGTCGAGGCAGCAGGTGGTGGGCTTCATCTGTGAGATGGTGGTTGAGAGGGAGGTGGGAACGATCAGGGCAAAGGAATGTAGAGACGGTGGGGGGGGAGTGGTAGGAGCCTTGGTGGAAGGAGGGGTGATGTAGACACGGGGTGCGAAAGGGGAAATAGGGAGGAGGATTCAGCCAAGCGGATATTTTCAATCTTTGAGACGAAGAAGTCCAGGACCTCTTTGCACTTGGCGTTTGAACCAAGATCCTGTGAAGCGCTTTGAGACCCCCCCCACCCCACTGAGATGACCTGATAAGTTGCTGTATCCAATGCAAATGTTATTGCTATGATTATTAGTTAAGCTCTCTGAGCCATTACCACTATATAAATGCAAGTTTGATGTTGTTGTTACGTGTCAGGATCATTGGAAACCCTACTGCTTACTGGTGACCCAATGCATAATGCAACATCATCCTGAGAAAAATATATTAATCCTTGCATTTGATACAGCGCCTTATCACATCAATGAGACATCTTGCCTCCAACTCAGAAAGTTATGGGTTTGAGCCCCACTGGGGACTTTGAGCTCACAGTCTAGGCTGATGCTCCAGGGTAGTGCTGGGGAGAGTGTAACATTGTCAGAGTCTTTCGATAATACAAACTGAGGTCCTGTCTGTTAGATTCTTTGAAATCTGGTGTTAGTTGTTAGGCTCAGGCAGATCAGGTGTCAATCCCCTGATGGACTGAACACTCAGTGTGCGTAAGACCACAGTCTGAGCTGTTGGGAGACAGAGCTTAGAAGTTGTTCGTTGGGTTTGGACTAAAACTAAACAACTTGGAAGGCATCTGTTGTGTGGCATATTCCTTGTGAAATCATTCCACTCTCTTCGCTGTTTAGGTGGACGTGAAAGATCCAATGGCACAATTCAGAAAGAGAAGAGAGTTTCTCTCTCCAGTGTCCTGGCCATCAACCCCCAGGATAAAATTGGTCACTCACTCCATGGCTGTTTGTGGGATCCTTCTGCGTGCAAATGGCTGTAGGGCTCACCCGCAAAATAATAAAAATAATAATCCTTGCATTAGATATCGCTCCTTATCATGTCTTCGAGACGCCTCAAAGCGTTTCACACAATATACTGTAAAGTGAATTGACCGTATATTTGTGGGCGAAACGTGACAGCCAAATGCGCACAGCAGTGTCCCGCAAACAGTCATGGAGTGACATGACATGAACAATTTATCATTCTTTTTATTTTCTTGAGGGATTATTATCAGGCGTGTGGAGTAAGGAAGCTTGCCCAAGGTTTCACCCTGCTGGAAAGCAAACCCAAGTCTCTCACTTGCAAGGCGAGTGCTCTAACCACTGAGCTAAAGGACTCCACAATATACAGTCAATAAACTTTTCAGTACACTATGGTTTTGAGATTTTGAGACATCTCAATGACATGATAAAAAGGCGCAATATTAAATACAAGGATTATTATTGCTGTCACAAGATTCTAAGGCAAAGTGAGATTTTACTCACACGACTGTTTGTGGGACACTGCTGCGTGTAATTGGCTGCCGTATTTCTCCCACAAAATACAGTCAATCCACTTTACAATATATTCTGTGAAGCGCTTTGAGGATGTGATCAGTCCCTATATCAAATGCAACGATGATTATTGTTTCGAGTCGTGACTGTCCAATTTGTAAACCAGGCCCCCACCCAGAGAAACATCCTTCTCTTTTCCACAGGAAAAGAACAGACAGGACCTTGGCTTAAGGACAAAGGACGGCATCTCTGACAATGCAGCACTTCCCCAGCACTGCAGTGGAGCGTCAGTTTGGATTGTGAGCTCAAACGCGGGGTTGGAACGCACAATCTTCTGACTCAGAGGCGAGAGTGCGAGTGAGTGAGTCCGGCTGACGCAGTCATGCACCCAGTCTCTCGCAGAGGGCCTGGGACTTAGTCTCGTGATGTATCACAATTTCAAATAATTACAGGCACTGATTCACTTAATCAATCAATTTCACCTGCAATGTTCGAGGATAAGACAGGACATAAAACTCGACACCGCGATCAATTGTCAGAGCGGTGGCTGTCTGCCAGGAGTCCCCTTGATCCATGTTCGCTAAACGCACATTAATCTGAATTTGGCAGAGTAATCAAGGGCCCAACTGAACTGTGAAATTGAATTCTACAGTGGAACATCGTTTGGCAGTTTTATGCTAACGCTGCAGAAAAGAAATGCCCAGGCACCAATTTATCACTGTTCTCTGCTGGGAGGTGGTGAGTGCAGTCTCCAATGCCTAGGGGTGGGGAGGGGGGGAGAGTGGGGAGAGTTGTGTCTGAGCTCGGCAGCGGAATTTGCATTTGACAAAAGACAGATTCCGTTTTAACAAAGCTGATCTGCTCCGTACGGTAACGAGTCACTGGCAAAGAGCGGGCACGTCTCAATAAAAACATAGCCTTGCTGTGGGAAGCCCCCTCCCCTGCCCTCAGCACGAAGCCCGTCAGTTTTCATCTGCTTAGCGGCACGGGGTTGGATACCTTTAAAGGCGGCACCTTTAATTGTGCGCGGATTCAGTGCTGTGTGATAATGCGGGCACTGACGCATTGCGCCAGGCACAAGGGGGAAACTAGGTCTGGTCTGCGCTTCAGCCCCTTTCCATCGCCCCTCCTCCCCGCGCTCACTCACTATCAGCTGAACAGAGTAACAATGTAAAAAATACTAATAATAATCTTTCCATTTGATCGTGCCTTATCGCATCTTCGAGATGTCTCAAAGCGCTTCACATGATATACTGTAAAGCGTTTTTTGACTGCAAGGTTTTTTGACTGTGTTTTGTGAGGGAAACGGGGCAACTAATTGGCGCACAGCAGTGCCCCACAAACAGCCATGAAGTGAATGACTAATTGTAACTGGGAGATTTGTTGGCCAGGACACCAGGAGAGAGAAACCCTTCTCTTTTTTAATAGCGCCACGGGTTCTTTAACATCCACCTGAACAGGCAGACATAATAATCCTTGCATTTGAAACAGCGCCTTATCGCATCAGGAGGTCGACTCAAAGCACCTCCCAGGATTTCACTGTGAAGTGTAGCGACTGTGCATTTCGCTGACAGACAAAAAGAGCGCACGGTAACATCCCGCAAACAGCCATGAGGTGAATGACTGACTGAATGATGATGAATGACACACAGAGACAGTAGAACAAGAGGACAGAGGAGATTTACCAGAATGGTACTAGGGATGAGGGGCTTTAGTTATGTGGAGAGACGAGAGAAGCTGGGAATGCTCTCCTTAGAGCAGAGAAGGTTGAGGGGCGATTTAATAGAGGTGTTCAAAATTATGAGTGGTTTTGATAGAGTAGATAGGGAGAAACTGTTTCCACTGGCGGGTGGGTCAGTAACCAGAGGGCAAAGATTCAAAATAATTGGCAAAAGAACCAGAGGGGAGACGAGGAGACTTTTTTTTACACACAGAGTTGTTACAGTCTGGAATGCACTGCCTGAAAGATTGGTGGAAACAGATTCAGTAACCACTTTCAAAAGGGAATTTGATATGACCTTGAAGAGAAAAAAAATGCAAGGCCGTGGGGAAAGAACAACAACAACAACAAGATTACATTTGTATAGCGCCTTTCACGTCGGGAGGACGTCCCAAGGTTCTGGACAATACAGCATTTCAGACCCGAGCTGGGGTCGGGGGGGGTAAGGGAGGGGAGGGGAAGGGGGGGTGGCCGATGGCATGGTCGAAGAGGAGGGTCTTGAGACGGGACTTGAGGGAGGCTAAGGTGGGGGCGAGGCGGAGTGACTGGGGGATGGAATTCCAGAGGCTGGGGGAGTGGGACTGAAAGAGCGAGGGAGTGGGACTGATTGGGTAGCTCTTCCAAAGACCCGGCACAGGCACGAGTGGCCTCCTTCTGTGCTGTAATATTCTATGATTCTTTGACACAAGTTTAGAGTTTGAAAGGGCAATTTAATAACATTCTATTTTATGTAATATTCTATGATTTCAGGACAGACACCAGGAAGTGTTTCTTTGCCCAAAAGGTAGTTAACGACTGGAACAGGTTACCAGGAAGGTGGAGGGTGGGGGAGTGAGGCCAGGACACTGGGACTCATTTAAAAAGTGGCCAGAGGCTGTGATGGGGGGATGGGAGGGTGGGTGTTCTGGAGGGAGGAGATCAGATGAGCCGAAGGATCTACTTCATCCAAACCCATTGTGTGATCTAATTGGGCAAGTTTTCTTACTCCACACGCCTCTGTTTACCAAGCAGTAAGTAGTTAGTTGTTAGTCGATTGGTGGATCGTTTTTCCAGGGGTAATAATCCCTTCAAACTTTTTTTAAAAAACAAAACAATAATAAATTGGTCATTTTCAATCCACGACTGTTTGTGGGACACTGCTGTGCGTAATTGGCTGTCGCATTTCACCCAGAAAATATACAATTCACTTTACAGTATATTCTGTGAAGTGCTTTGAGATGTTTCGAAGACATGATAAGTCGTTATATCAAATGCAAGGTTTATTATTATTATTAATGACAGTCACTGTCTCTCTTACCAATTACCAGTAGAAATAGCTTCTCCCTGTTTAACCCATCAAAAACCCGATAGATCCAACTTTTCCAATCTCTCATAACTGTAGCCCCTCCTCCCTGGGATTATTTTTATGAATCTTCTCTGTGTTCCCTGCACATCTTTCCTGAAGTCTCCAGCTACAGCCTAACTAATGGTTTGTACACAACTAGCATTAAATATTTTATTGAGGAAACATAATTTGCCTTGCCCAAGCATATTTATTTTAATAAGCTGAGAGCCTGGCTCAGTCACTCGCACTGTCGCCTCTGAGTCAGAAGATTGTGGGTTCAAGCCCCACATCGAGGACTTTGAGCTCCAGTGCAGTGCTGGGGGATGTGTTGCATTGTCAGAGGTCCCACCCTTCAAATGATACGTTAAACCGAGGTCTCGTCTGTGCCTGTTCAGGTGGATGTTAAAGATCCTGCGGTGCTATTGGAAAAGAAAAGGGAGTTTCTCTCTCTCCAGGTGTCCTGGCCAACAATTTCCCAGGTACAATTGATCACTCACTCCCTGGCTGTTGGTGGGACAATCCTGTATGCAAAGCGCTTGCCGTGATCGCCCACAAAAACTACACATTACAGACCACTACACTGCACCGTAAAATCCTATGGATCCTGAGAAACCTCAAAGATGTAATCAGGCATTGTATCAAATATAAAGATTATTATTATTAATAATGACATTAGACACCACAAAACCCTAGTCTATTATGAGCACATTTAGAAACTACAAGAGAGGGAAAGTGGAATAATTATACAGTGACAAAAGCAATGACATTTTATTTTTTAATAATAATAATAATCCCTGTATTTGATATCGCTCCTTATCATGTCTTCGAGACGTCGCCAAGCTCTTCACAGAATACACCGTAAAGTGAGTTGACTGTATATTATATTGGGAGAAACATGGAAGCCAATTGCGCACAGCAGCGTCGCACAGACAGTCGTGGATTGAGTGACCAGGTTATTATTTGTTTTTAAATTGATGCAACAAAACTTAGCTTCAAACTCGGCAAAAAAATGATACTCATTTCTATATATATATATTTATACTTATATGGGAAATGTCCTCTGATTTCTCTGATTGCTCATTTCCTGGTCATAGAGGTTGTGCACCATTGAAAATGGTTTCTGTTCCTGGAGGAAAACTTCTACAGCTTGTAAATATAGCCACCATTCAAGACCAGGTCAACGGTGCAGATTACAATTTGACACAGAATCCGTCACACGAGTTGTTTGGGAGCGAGAACAGCAGTGAGGCTATGAATTCACTGTACCCAATACATGCCTTTCCCCTGTTCGTCGTGGCTACAGTGCTCTCTCTGCGTCTGCGGCTGTGGCTGCTATTTCCGGAGCTTCCAAACACTTTCACTTTGCTGTCATTTGTAGTGTAGCAACTTAAAATTTGGTCCCTCAATCCACAACAACAACAAAGACAACTTGCTTTTATATAGCGCCCGTTTCACGCAGGGCAGCGTCCCAGAGCAATCAATCCACAACTGTTTGTGGGACACTGCTGTGTGCAACTGGCTGCCATGTTTGGTCACTGCACTTTACAGTATATTCTGTGAAGCGCTTTGAGACGTCTCAATGAGGTGATTAGGATTATTATTATTAACGTGAGACGTTTCAGAGGTCATTGTGGTGAAATAGTGCATGAGGAGGAGGGATATTGCCCTCGGAGGAAAGAGGCTGGTTCATAAAAGGATCGGTGTTATTCCATACAGCACCTTCCTTGCACATCAGGAGGATGTCTCAAAGCGCTTCACAGGATAAACTGCGTTCGCAACGAAAGCGACAGCCAATTTGCACAAAGCTACGTTATAATACAATACAGGTTTACATTTATACATTGTCTTTCACGCTAGAAAGACATCACAGGGTGCTTAACAATAGTGGCTTGTCACCTGAGCTGGGGGTGGAAGCTGAGAGGGATGGAGTGACACACATGGAAACTCATCACTGTGATCAGCCGAGTGTCTGACACACATGGAAACTCATCACTGTGATCAGCCGAGTGTCTGACACACATGGAAACTCATCACTGTGATCAGCCGAGTGTCTGACACACACAGAAACGCATCATGCCAAGGCTTGAGGACCCCAGAGTGTGCATTGGGGTAATTGTTGGAAGCTAACCAGCTAAAACCACTGAGTTTGCCCGGCAAGCTTTCCTGCTGCGTGTCCAGTTAATAATAATAATAATCCTTCCATTTGATATAGCGCTTTTCACGTCTTCTTGACATCTCAAAGCGCTTCACAGAATAGACTGTAAAGCGAATTGACTGCATATTTGTGGGTGAAACGCGGCAGCAAATTGCGTAAAGCAGTGTCCCACAAACAGTCGTAGATTGAAAATGACCAATTTATTATTGGTTTTGGTTTTGGAGGGATTATTATTAGGCTCTGTGTGGAGTAAGGAAACTTGCCCAAGGTTTCGCCCTCTGCCTGGAATTGAACCCGGGTGTCTCGCTTGCAAAGCGAGTGCTCTAAGCATTGAGCTACAGGTTAAGGTTTTGACTTGCAGGGTTAACAGGAGCTGAGTGGGATGACTCCCTGGTCTGCCTTTCCAGGTCCTGCCGATGAGCCAGGCTGAGCTGTGCTGTCATCAGCAGTGCCCTGGAATACTGTGGACCCACAAAGATTATTATAATTTAAGAAATCTTGGAATTGATACAGCATCTTTCATGTCTGTAAAATGCAGTGACTGTGCGTTTTGTAGGTGAACACAGCAGCCAATTTGTGCACAGCAACGTCCCACAAACCACCATTGTTGCCATTTCAAGGTAATGTTCCTTGTAGTGGATAGATTCCTATAGTAATATAGCTCGACATGTATAGAGACAGAGAGAGACAGCGAGAGAGAGAGAGAGGGAGAGAAAAAGACAGACAGACAGAGAGAGAGAGAAGAGAGAAACAATACTAATCAGCAAGAAAAGAGCACTGTGAGCAGTCTTGGTGCTGTTCAGGTCACAGCTGTACTGACAGGCGTGAGTGAGGGACTCACACAGGAAAGGATAGTCAGTGGGCTCTCTGAGGGCCCAGGGAGAGAGCAGAGGAGATGATCTTTAATGTCCACCTGAACAGGCACAGACGGGGCCTCGGTTTAACGTCTCACCCGAAGGACGTCACCTCTGAAATGCAGCGTTTCCCCCCCAGCACTGCACTGGAGAGTCAGCCTGGACTATGAGCTCAAAGTCCCTGACGTGGGGCTTGAACCCACAACCTGCTGACACAGAAGTGAGAGTGAGTGAGTGAGTGACCCAAACTGACATAGTCTGAGCTGGATGGATTAGTGGGTGGACACATGGGCAGACACAGCGACAGACACAGGGACAGACACACAGAAGCAGAGTTTACCTTGGGGTTGCAGGCTATGGTGGCTGACTCAGACAGCCTGGGGTAGGTGTAGGAGCTGTAGGAATGGCCGGTGGGGAGGGTGGAGGTGAAGGCTTCTGTGGGGTGAGGCAGGCTGGGCTCCTGCAGGCCGGAGCCGGACTTTGACCTCTGCCTCATGGTGGGCTGGGGGCTGGTGGGCACCACGTAGGAGGACTTGGGACGCCTCTCGGGCTCCTGGCCCCAGTCCCCCCGCTCTCTCTCCCTGGTGGGCTCCCTGTGGCCGGCGGAGACTCTGGAGCGGGGGCTAGGCGGGGGTCTGTGGGGGTCCGGGGGCGAGGTCTGGGTTCGGGGGAAGTCCCAGTTGGCGGAGCCGCTGTAATCGGCCGAGCGGATGTTGGCCACCATGCGGGTGAAGTAATCCGGGGGGAAGCGGGGGGCAGCCCCCTCCAAGCAGTAGGCATCCAGCGGGTGATAGCGACCCGAATCTTGGCCGTTCAGCTGAGCGCCTTTGCCGTGCGTGTGATACCTGTCCCACTCCCCCGCCCGCAACCCCTTCTCTCGGCCCTCTCGCAGGAGAAATCTCTGGGGGGTTCAGCGTCGCAGGAGTATCGGAGGTAATGCTGGCCGTAACCGTTGATCTCGGGGCTGAAGAGTCCGTCGGCCGGGCTGGGCTGGGGCGGGGCAGGCGGGCTCTCTCGACGCAGAGAGTTTGACCTGGTCACCGAGATGTCGTTGAACTCCTCCAGCAAACCGTTCAGCGAGGTGTCCTTCCATACACGGGCTCCCCTCACTATGGTCTGAGTGGAGAGAGCAGGGGAGTGAGTGACCACATCCACAACAGGTCATGAAATATTATTAATAATAATAATAAATAATAATAAATAATGATAATAATAAGAATAATCATCTCAATGACATAAGACGCTATATCAAATGCAAGGATTCATAATATTCTTATGTAATAATTCTAATTCATGTGAAACGTCTCAAAGCGCTTCACAGGATATGTTGTAAGGTTTCCTGACAGTATTTTAATTATAAAAATAATAACAATAATAATCCTTGCATGTGATATAGCGCCTTATCACATTGTTGAGCTGTCTCAAAGCGCTTCATGGGATACACCGTAAAGTGTAGTGACTTGTGCATTTTGTGGGCGGAATCCCTTCAACGTTCATGTCCCCACCAAAGTCAACACTCAGCTCCCGTTAACAACAACAAGTAACATTTACACAGAGGTCTTCACGTCAGGAGGACATCCCAAAGTTCTGGACAGTGATAGATTTGCACCCGAGTTGGGGGGTGGATGGAATTAAGGGTGGAGGGCAAGGAGGGGGTGAGGGAAGCAAAATGACCTAAGGCACGGTCGAAGAGGAGGGTCTAGAGACGGGCCTGGAAGAAGGCGAGGGAGCGAGGCGGAGGGCTTCCGGGATAGGGCTTCCAGAGGGTGGAGGCAGAGAGGCTGAAAGCAGGCTAATGGTGTGACGGGCAGGGCAGGGGAACATGGAGCAGTCCAGTGCCCGCCGAGCGGCCAGCCCTGCCAGACAAAGACCTGGTGGGTAGAGTGGTCTGAACTGGCCTAACACTTCATCAAGTCATCAAGATGTCTCAAAGGACCTCACAGTGTTTACACACTGTAATATATTTTTGTAGGCGAATGTGGCAGCCAGGTTATGCATCCCATACACAGCCATGAAGTGAGTGACCGATTTTATCTGTGGGATTGTCGGCCAGGGCTGGTTGTTGCTGTTTCACAAGATGGGTTCGGTTGAAGAAGACCCTTCGGCCCATCTGATCTCCACCCTCCAGAACACCCACCCTAATGTTACCCCATCACAGCATCCAGCTGCTTTTTAAACGAGTCCCCGTGTCCTGGCCTCAACCCCCCCTTCCTGGTAACCTGTTCCACTCATTAATTACCCCCTGGGTAAAGAAACACTTCCTGGTGTCTGTCCTGAAATTGCCCCTTAACAGCTCTAACCCTGTGTCCTCTTGTTCTACTGTCCTGATGCATCTGAAACTAATGATCTGGGTTTGATTTTTCAATCCCATTTAAGACGTTACACACCTCTATGAGGTCCCCTCCGAGCCGTCTTCTCTGACAGAAGAGCCCGAGCTTGTCTGACGATGAGATCAGACACCAATACAAATTTACTTTTACACAGTGCCTTTCACGTCGGTAGGGGAGAGCCAGTGGCGGAGACAGGCAGTGTGGTGAGATGAGGCAAAGCTGAGTGGGTCAGAGTACGGCACAGATGTGGGGTATAAAGGTTAGTGGAGAGTCTAACAAGACACAGGTTCTACACTGGCTCGGTGAGGTGGAGAGTGCATCTGTGTAGATTGATGCTATCAGAGCCTGAGGTGAGGAGGTGCTGATAGGAGCGAACAACAACAACAACAACTTGCATTTATATTTCGCCCCTCACGCAGGGTGGCGTCCCGGAGTGCTTGACTGTGGCGGAGCACGATGCTGAGCAGGAGAGCCTTGGTCTCGTCAACATTCGACTGGAGAAAGTTGAATAATTTAATTAATTATTATTTCCATTAATATTTACCATTAACTTCTCCCCAAGTGCCTTCTCCTGACTCTGATCGCGTTATACAATACAAGGTGAAATCCCAGACTGACCGTTGACAGAGTGTTTCAGAACAAGCACAGACGGGACCTCGATTTTACATTTCACCTGAAGGACGGCAACTCTGATAATGCAACACACCCCCAGCACTGCACTGGAGGGTCAGCCTGGACTGTGAGCTCAAAGTCCCCGACGTGGTGGGGTTGGGGGGGGTTATCAAACCACAGTCTCCTGACTCAGAGGCAAGAGCCCGAGTGACTGAGCTTGGGTGAGACTGACTCAATGATTCCTGTGCCAGTATTGAAGAGAAACTCATTGACATTCTCAGAGCCAGCGGCTCGAGTCTGGACAAAGAAGTGCTCAGGAATGGAGCTGACGAAAGAGGCAGTGTATACACGCAGCCTTTAGTACAACCTCAGCCCAGGGCTCCGTCACCGAAACCTCTTTATTGTTATTAACTACACTCATCAGCGAACCTTCAGCGATGCTAATAGTACGCAGGTCAAAGACGCCGCTTGCAAACACGCTGTGGTTTTACACAAATCAATTGTTGGGCCATGTTGTACGCTGTGTATGAATTAAAGTCAAACGGTCTCAAGTAGCTGCTTTCATTTCCATCCCTCTGCGTTGGGAGCAGGGCTGGGGTTGTGGCAGTGACAGCAGCTATATTTCACTCTGCTCCCACAGCGCTCTGCTCTCAGGTGATAAGGTGTAAATGTGAGAAATCACTTAATAATCCCTCCAGGCGGCGGAATGAGGCTGAATTAACCTGATAAACCATGAGTGCATCATTAATAACCCTGTCCCTTTAATGCCTCTCATCTCATCTACTGTGCAGCACAAGGTTAACTGCCTAACACATAGAATCATAGAATTATAGAATATTACAGCACAGAAGGAGGCCAATCGGCCCATCGTGCCTGTGCCAGCTCTTTAAAAGAGCTACCCAATCAGTTCCACTCCCCCGCTCTTTCCCCATAACCTTGGCAATTTTTCCTTTTCAGGTCCCTATCCAATTCCCTTTTGAAAGTTGTTACTGAATCTGTTTTTACCAACCTTTCAGGCAGTTTCAGGCAGACCGTAACAACTCGCTGTGTAAAAAAAAAGGCTCCTCGTCTCTCCTCTGGATCTTTTGCCAATTATCTTAAATCTGTGCCCTCTGGCTACTGACCCACCCGCCAGAGGAAACAGTTTCTCCCTGTCTACTCTATCAAGACCCCTTATAATTTTTCACACTTCTATTAAATCTTCCCTCAACCACTCTACAGGACTTACCATCGCTCCACATAACCAAAAATAATAATAACAGGTAATACATACCCTCCTCCATTATATTGCACAGGAGACCAACCTGTACCTAATACTCTCTGGAATTAGGTAAGCAGGATGTGTCCCTCCAAGGAGAAAGTGCACATTCCAACAATCTATCTCTGGGATTTCCATGTGCAGATGAGATGCATGGAATTCTCAGCTTGGCTTGGATACCTTGAGCACGGTGATGGGTTTCCACGTGTGTCAGACACCCGGCTGAGCAAAAGAAATGCTCTGGCCTGCCATGTTATATGTTAAACTGGGGTCATTAATTAACACGTATTAGCCTCATTGTACTGGGATTGTCCTGTAATTAACACACACAGCCTCGTATTCTGGGATGCCCTGTTGTTATAATAATAATATTAATCCTTGCATTTGATATAGCGCCTTATCACGTCTTCAAAGTCTCAAAGCGCTTCACAGAATGGACTGTAAAGTGAATTGACGCTATGTCTTGTGGGCGTACATGTGAGATTCTGAATAAGTGCACGAACGCTGTGTTCCAGGTGTTATTGTGAACACAGATATGACCTCCACGTCACATTTCTGCTCCTTTCTGTTCTCTGTTCCTAACTGCTGAGCGGCAATTGGTGCAGATTTGTTCCTGCCTTCACCTAAACACTACACAGTCACACCTACTACACCTCACAGTGAATCCTGCTGCTGGGATCCCGGATGCGCTTTTAGACATATGTCCGTCCGACATGAAATCTAAGAGCTGAGGAGTGGGACTAGTTGGTGGCTCAAAGAGTCAGCACAGGCACAGTGGGCTAAATGGTTTCCTTCTGTGCTGTAAAATTCTCTGATTCGAAATGTAAGGATTAATTATTATTATTGTTATTATTGCATTAATTATTACATTTCCCAGGATGGTCCAGCCCAGGCCACCTGATAACGAAGCAACCTTTCATCCTTGAATCATTTTTATAAACTTCTCGATAGTTTTCTTTTCTGTAGCATTATTCATGCCAACAAAGAGGCACACTGTTAAACTGCTAGTGGCCATTACTTACAATTGTTTCCCAATTAACCCTCAGGTGGTTTGTCCAGACGGCTGTTAGTTAAGACGCATTCAATTGAAGCGTGTGGTGCCACGCAAATCACTGATGGAGATTTTTTGTTCAGATTGTCTGACGCACACGCAAACCCATCATCGTGATCAGTCGAGCGTCTGACACACACGCAAACCCATCACCGTCATCAGCCGGGTGTCTGACACACACGGAGACCAATCACCGCGATCAACCATACTCCACAAACCATCTTGGAATATTGGAGTATGGGTTAGGGGTCAGTGTATAAAATTGCTGTGTTGCTGGTACATCTGGGCTTGTTCTGGAGGGTTAAGTGCTCCGAGACACTGTACCGATTGAAGAACGATTAATGAATGCAAGTTGTTGTTGTTGTTGTTGGGATTAGGGTGGAATACTGAAGCAGAGATTGAATACAAGTGTTCACTGTAGAAGCTCCTTTCCTTTAGAAATGGGAACCCAATGAATAGAAATGAAAGGGACGGCAGGAAATACTTCAGCCCATTTTTCACAAGACCGGTTCAGATAAAGAAGAACCCTTCAGCCCACTTAATCTCATCCTTTCATCATATCTGCCCTACTGTCCTCCCATCATAGCATCAGCCAGGACACCGGGAGAGAAAAACTCCCTTCCCTTTTCGAATAGTGCCGCAGGATCTTTAACGTCCATCTGAACAGGCACAGGCGGGACCTCGGTTTAACGTCTTATCCAAAGGACATTACTTCTGACAATGCAGTGCTGGAGGGTCAGTCTGGACTGTGAGCTCAAAGTCCCCTATGTGGGGCTTGAACCCACAACTTTCTAACTCATAACAGGGCTCAGAATGTCACAGTGTTTAATTCTGTGTCTCTTGCTCACTCATTTGGATTAAAAAA